CTTCCGTTATTATTATGTCGCTTACATCACAACGCAGCTTAAAATTTCCTTGATTTTGTGGAAATACTGATGTTGTCGATATTAAAATACCATACTTTCGGTTTGAAAGCTACAGGGTCTAAGAATGAATCTCACTGACTTTGTGTTAAAAGGTTAAAACTTAAAAGTTATAAAAGATACAGGTTCTGCTGTAGTAAAAATTATTATTCAAATTTTCCAAAACATGTCACATACGATTTTGAGATAACAAGCTGTATTCGTAAAAAAATGCTACTCGATACAGCATGTACTTTTGTCGATCCATATAAAAATATGAATGGACACACTGTATATGAGACACAGGAAAATTTAACAAACCGTTCAGATTTGCCTCCGTTAGGTATGTCTCGTATAATTATCATTACCGCAAAATTCGCCCCAGGAAGATTTTCCCTCGCAAGATTCGACTCCGGAAAATTTACCTCCGGAAAATTAGCCCCGGGAAGATTTGCCTACAGATCCACCTCCGATTTCTTAATTGATTTCTCCCTCCTCTCTCTGCCTTCACACCGTCTATCATCTTCATCAGTACGTGATACAACAAATTTCTCTTTCTTTTGATGGTATGTCCATGATTGATGTCCTTTCCGCAAGTCTCTTCAGTACTTCCTTATACTTCACTCCGCCTTTCCATTTTTTTCAAAATCCTCCATATCCACATCTCCAAAGCTTCTATTCCTTTCTCGTCCTTCATTATTGCCCATTTTCACAACCATAAAAAGAAGGGTTGGTATTTTTAACAAGGGATGTAGCTAATTGTTGGTCAGAGGCCAGAGCTTATTATTAAAATACGACAAATTTACTGTAAACTCGCCTTTAATTAGAAACCTACCTCTGTAGTCTACGCCTACGGTCATAAGGGGTGGCATGGCAGCTTTCAGTCTGGTTTGTTCTTTCGCGCTCGAGGGTCATGTAAACAAACGTCGCCACTGCGTATCGGCGATTATCGTCAATTAATTAGGTAACTCACCGGGAGCTAGTGCTGACCGTTGAAAGTGAATCTCGCAAGATGATTGACGAATTTTAATAAGGTACAACCGAGCTTCCGGTTCCTCACAATGTATTTCAGTTCCAATTTAGTTTAGATATTTATGAGAAAAATTACTGATGTTCCGCAGTGTAGAAATGTCCACATTTACCCTTACAACTTAGGGTTCTGACAGCCAAAAAATACACGAATTAATTGTATTTAAACCTTTTACCGGTTGCCGTTTTATTTATAATACTATTAGCACGTGGTATAAACAAATTAGGTGCACTATGATTAATAAACTGTTTTTTTAACGTAACTAGCCACTACAAACATAGCGCAATGAAATGTTTTACACCTTGTACCCTAACGCTTTCGTGGTAACTATTTATTCAATTGCGACATTGCGAGTACTTTCATCCTATCGTGCAAATATTCACTTAGGTACGTATTAATAAAGTAACTTTTCCACACTGTAGTTTTTGCTACACGACGAAATTTTCTTATTGCCTTAAAAACCGCCCCCATTTCTCTTGTTCAAAAGGGCAGCTCTCACTGAATGTATACAGTACCTACGGCAATAAATTCGTCGTAAATGGTGGCACGATGTCCAGTTGCGCGGCTAACGATTCTCTTTTATTCTCCAGTTATACGGTTTTCTTTTCGAATTTTCAATTGATAGTGAAATTTAACGCGATCTCAAAAAAGTCTGTACACCATTCACCATCCCTCATTCCCTGTCATAGCCGTTTTTAGAACCGGCAACAATGTAGCATTTCGAATATTATCTGCTTAAAGACTCGTTTCTTATCTGAACGTGCTTTATTTTCTCGAATATTAATTCCGTTATCTTTCATTATGAAGCGGTACACGTAAAAAATGTCCGATGCTGGCAAATTTGTAAATTTAACAGGAAATCTTTAAATGCTAAAGCGACTACCTGGTACAATTAAAAAAAATGCATTAGAAACGCAAATTTGCCGAGGCGAATCTCCCGGGGCGATTAATACAGTAGTAAATTTTTAGGAGACGAATACTAACAACCTCCTGCTCTCCAAAAGTAAAACGAAAACGCCATATATTATATGGGTGTATTAATACTCGAAGGCGATTCGATAGGAAGGCTGGGGATGAATATTTCAAGGACGAATTTACCGGGGTGAGTTCCCCAGACCGAATGGTAGACACACAGAATTATACAAGTGATGTTGCAACCGATGGTGAAATACGTTTGTCAATGTTCATCAAATAACACAGAAGGAAAAAGATGTCGCCTTCGCTATCCTTTACACTTGTTGACTTATTTTGCTTTCGTTGAGTACTAGCACAACTTGACGGTGCACAACTTGACGGTGTAGTTGTTTCTTTTAGACGGCGATTGTTGCCTGTAAAGCGAAACTTCGATATCCGTGTGGATTGTTTTGCTTGCCATGCTTTTTGTATAAAAGAGATGTTGAAATAATATGGAAATTAATGATTAAAGTGTTGATCATAACTGCACAACTTCATACAATAATGGCTTACAATACTAATAAAATTTAACAAAAGAACACACCTGCGAATTTCAATCAATTTAAATGTCTTATCAGATTAAATAAAACAATCATTCTGCATACGTTTAATTTGAATCAAATACGAAACCAGCTTAAACTACCCACCTAATTCAACATCCAAAATACCAACCAGACAGAAGAAATGTTGAAGTAACGCAACCAGTTTTCTTAAAAATTATAAGGGCAGTCATCAAGTGTATTGCGCACATTAACAATGCACTTTAATGTAAGTAGATGTAGTTACCAATTACCTATAAATACAGCTGTTGTGACAAAATATGGGCTGAATAGAAAAGGTGACACGAATTATATTGTCACAGTGATGTTTCCCAAGACTACGACCACTGTATTTAAAGGTCAATGCGACAACAGTTTGGTCTTTTGAACATCTAATCAATCTAAGGAAATTTATAATGCTTAATTACATTTACTAAGTAAAATTTCTAACTGTAACCCGCATGCAGTAGTATATCACCTAATCGGACGTGGTGGTACAAGCGTGTTTAAATTGCGGAAGTTATCTATATCTTAAGCGCTGGAACCTACATATACATCTTCAAACTCTTAATTTGAGTAGAATTAGTGTCCTAGGGTGTGGATGAAAAGAACGATTCTACCGGCTTCCATCAATTCTAAGAACTAGAAATAAGGGCCATTTAAACTCAAGATCTGCCTTAACGGTGATTTATTTCGGCAAGTTTCTTCTGAAAGCGCCAGGTCGAACAAAGAATGTAGTATACGAAAGGCAGCCAAGAATTCTCTCACAATTATAAACAAACAGGTTGACAAAAACTGGCAAATCAAACTTTAGCTTCTTATACGACAATTAATTTCGAACAATAATTGACTTTAAATTTTAAAGTTAAATTTATAAAATTGGAAAGCGATTAATAATTGAAACAATGAGCTTTTTGGAACTTGATGAAATGACTATTAAATCACGGTTGGTAATAAAAATCTTATCATTATCAACAAACTAAGGATTTTATTGCTTTTACAATTTCTAGTACAGCATAACTACGATTGCAAATGTGGGTTATCATGTAATAAATTGAGGGAGTTTTATCACTACTTATGGAGTGTTTAACTCCTATACCGCTAGGCAACCAAAAGTACGTATGAAGTTTAAACTGAATAGTTTTAATTCTTTATTTGCACAAATATTGTAACCCAATTTCATAATCGACAGACGACAATTTATAATGAAGTATTGAAAATCAGATGAGAAAGATATAACGGTCTTCTTCGAGCATACACATCAAATATCTCTTCAAAATTCTGGATTGGTTTTGTTAGATGTGAAACAGCAGCAACTTATGCACTTATTGCATACTTTAGATCGTTGATGAAGACACAAACCCATAGATCTGGTGAATGGGCAGACCATAATTGTTTTTGAAAAACTGACTTATTAAAGACTGGGGGACCGACCAGTCAATTCCAGGCTCAGTGGCCAACCGGACTCAGACAGACCAGGACCTTTTTAACATGACCCTTTGGCAAATCTGGGTCTTCTAAGCTACTAAAACTAAACAGAAGCCAGATTAGGAAGATTACCAGTGTCGGCGGTGTCCTTACAGAGCACTAGATCGTCAACTATCACCTCCACAACATTGGGTTTGTAGGAGAGCCCTATCTATCGAGCCAGTGGACTGTCAATTTACTGCTTTCCATTTGAGTGAAAGAGGAGCTCTAAGCTGTACCGTGCACGATGCCCCGTGTTCCTTTTAAGAAAGCTTCGAGCTCTGACCCACCCGAAATTGGGTTTCCCTTGTCCCTTCATGCACCACCTATTGGCTTGGGGCTTGAAACACTTTTGTGGTTATTTACGTACTGTGAATGTCAATTCAAATGTGTGCAAAATGAACAACTTGCAAAATGAGCTGCTCCGAACGAACTGCACCAGAGGTTCACGCATTCAAATGGAAATCAGATTATTGTATCGCCATTATCAAAGACAGCAGGACCGTAGCTAGACCGAAAGTGAACATAAAGCAAACGGATGGTATGAGCGGGCAACTTTTATAACTAAATTCAATGCCCAGAATATTTTTTCTTATGCTGCCACTCTTTCAATTGTAAGGTGTGTTGTTTAACCATAGGAGTGTGTCACCACTGTATTAAAGTAGACCCTGTTTGTAGGGGGTGCGGAGAGGAAAAGATATGCATTTGATTTGTTAGTTGCGGTGTAGATTATAGAAGGTACAATATACAATTACTGCTAAAAAGCAGTTTAATGATCTTCCCAACATTTGGTATAATATCGACAGCAGTTGCCTAACAAGATTGTTGAGTTTTTGTTTATTCGAAAAAAATTTTTTGCTATCGGTCACGTGTAACTTAAATACTTATGTTACATCCTGTATTTATAGCGTAGATAAACTACTACCACTGCCGTAGTTCCAATGCGCCATAGTAGTTAATATTAACTGATTTATAAATCGTAATTATAACCTAAACACGTTCACTAGGTTTCATATAAAACTTTCACATATTTTTCTGTTGTGTTTCCTTAACTACCTTCAAAATGTCCGAAAGAAAAGTTTTAAATGTAAGTAATATTAACTGTAACTATTTGTATAATCCTAAGACGTATGTTTTGTAGAAATACTACCCCCCCGATTTCGATCCTTCGAAAATACCTCGCATGAAATTGCCAAAAAATAGGCAGTACACTGTGAGATTGATGGCACCCTTTAATATGCGTTGCAAAACGTGCGGCGAATACATATACAAGGGTAAGAAGTTCAATGCGCGCAAAGAAGACGTCGAAAACGAAGATTACCTAGGGATCCGAATTTATAGGTTTTACATTAAGTGCACGAGGTGTCTGCAGGAAATATCTTTTAAAACTGATCCGAAAAATACGGATTACGAAATTGAAGCCGGCGCAACACGGAATTTTATGGCGTTAAAGTTAGCCGAGGAGCAGGCACAGAGAGAGGAGGAAGAAGAGAAGGAGGAGGAACAAAACAATCCCATGAAATTACTAGAGAATAGAACGAAACAATCCAAAAATGAAATAGAATTGTTGGAATCCTTAGAGGAACTGAAGGATTTAAATCGGAGGCAACGCTCTGTCGATTACGATAGCATGCTACTTGCGTATGATACGAAGTTAACAGCACGAGAGAGAGAGGAAAGGATGCAGCAGCTGGATGAAGAATATATCAAGTACGTATTTTGATAATAAATCTAGTTTTGTCTCAATTTACACATTGTAGAACTGTGAAATTTCATTCGAGTCAGAAAAGGAAAGTAATTGTAGAGGAAGAAATAGTAGAAGACAAGGTCGAAGAAAAGAAGATTAAAGTAGAACCAGATTGTGCTGGTGAAACAAGTGTCACCGTTACTGAAGCTAAAAGCAGTGAGTTAAAGGAACCAGTTAAAAAATCTGTGCCAGTGGGAAATACATGGAATAAAAGTATTGGTTCTCTTTCAAAAAATAAAAAGTTGACTGGTTTGGTAAAGATTAATAAACCATCTAGTAATACAGAAGAATTAAAAACTAATAACATCCCATCATCAAGTCTGTCTTTATTGGGCAATTATTCAGGGAGTGATAATAGTGATAATGACTAAGTTTTGGGAATAGTTTATTTTTTAAGTACTAACTAGTGGTCTATGAAATGTAATGAAAGTGTTAAATATTTTTAAAATGTGATTAAAACATTGACCATTGGTGTGATGTTTGGTTTCATTATACATATTTGAGACATTGGTTTTCATCCCAAAATCAATACACTTGTCCTGCAATTTTGAGTAGGTACCTAAAATTGCTGATGTAATTCCTTTTCCCATTTTATTCTCTGGACATCTGCAACAATAAACGATCACACTTCTTGGGGTCAGCACGCGAAAGGAATGTTTTGCATTAGAGATGAATGATTGAAGCATTTTAATATATCTTTTACTTGTTGAACTTTGATCCATACAGGAAATTTGTGAACAAATATCAATTGTAATCAAAATTGGATATTTAAAACAGGTAATATAAATATACAAGGTAAAAATGTTGTCTGGAACACTGGATATAATATCTTCAAAATAAAATTTTTTTAAAGAATCTGTGACGTACCCAGGCCAGCCCCGTGAGACTGCGCAGCTCAACGCATACATAATCATAAACAAAATATACAGAATTTATGTAGGCTTTGAAAGTTGACATATTTGCACTGGCATAACAAAGACTAACATAAAACCAATATTCGGTCACTACATGTCAGGGATCCACTAAACGAATTGATTAGCAATATAGACAAGATATGGCTCTTTTCGAAGACACAAAAAAACAGTACATAAAGCATATACGGTGAGTTTTTTTTTAAATGCGAACATAAGAGTTTGCATGTAATGTAATTTCCTATGTTCGATTTTTAAAAAAAACACATCAATCTATGAGGTGTGCGCGGTTCAGATTCCCAAATCGCGCAACTTGTGTGACTATGAACAGCAACTCTATAGTCTTTATGATGAAGAGCACTCGGTAAAATTTTTTTAAAGAAGCCATGTGAGGCCATAGCCACTTTAGGATACATTTTTCTTAAACTTACGATAACTTGACTACACAGGCCACGCACTGACACCACAACTCATTGTGAACCAACCTTCAATTATTTGTAGGTCATGTGCACCTGGTATTGTACTAATTTGATCTATTCAATACATAAATGACAAAAATAAGATAATAAATACCGAAAACAATTACAATAAATGTTCGAAGTGTCCTCCTTGACATTCTAAGCAATAACTTAACCGATTTCGTAATTAAATTGGACGGCGGTATTTTTAAAAATGTGACAGCTGTCAATTGTATCTACTACTCATTTGAACTACTCAATAGATTGATATGTTTTTTTTCATCGAGATAGTATAAATGGAGACGCTATTTAGCATCTAAACAATACTATTAAAATGGGACCTGTGGGCGGGGCTTAGTGTCGTACCAATATGGCCGACTTGCCAGGGCCGGATCCTATTGTTTTTAAGCTTAATTACCAAATGTAATAATGTGTTACAAATATGGAACGATTATAAAAAAAGTTTAAGTTTATTTGTGTAGGTGCGAATGGGGTAGTTTTAAAAGCTATCAGTAAATATCAAATGACTAAGTAGTAAATATCAAATGACTAAGTACCTATACCTAAATTTTCTTGGTGCAATTGAATTGTGAAAGTTAAGTTGACAAATGGTGCATAATAGGTACCTACAATATGCATAGGTCGGCTTTATCGTGATTAAATTGACAGTAAGTAGGTACCTAAACTAAATGCTGAAATTCTATCAATACTAGCCTGTATTGTGTTTGTACTTACCTATGAAAAGTTATTCCAGTTATTTTCTTTTTGTCAATCCCATCCCGGGCATAACAACTCCGCACAGCACAACACACCATGTCGATAAAACGCAATTTATATAAATAGACCGCAATAATTACGGAAATAATTCGAAAATCACAACACAACACAAAATCTGACGGATGACGGATGTGTAGTAACAATATGGCGGACCGGGTCCCGCTTTGGTCACTTGATGTCGTCTCCATTTATACTATCTCGATGTTTTTTTTTAAATCGAACATAGGGAAATTACATTGCATGCAAACCCCTATGTTCGCATTTAAAAAAAATTCACTGTATATCTCTGCGTAAGTCAGTCCTGAACTTTAGCCAGCCTCTGCTACGTCAAATCGAGATTATATATCGGTATCAAATATAGCACAGTACATATTCGAAACAAGTCACCCTGCCAAATATTAATATAATCATAATCACCCGGTTCAAATAAATAGTAGGAGCATAACGTTAAGTATCACAGTACAACAAAACAAAGGAACATGTCGTGACAAAACATTAGTATAAAGTAATTAATTCTCAATGCCAAGTGTAATATGTATCAATCAACCACCTAACGTACCTACGTCACTCGCCCCCAAATGAAGCACCCTTTGTAATTGTCGAAGCTGCACTTCGAAACGTAAAAATTACTTCGGTCCTCAACAAAAGCACAATAATACCTCTCCTTAAATCTCCCCTCTAAGCAAATCCTAGACGAAAATTGTTGATAGGTACCTATCGACGTGCTCCCAGACGTCGAGTCAATACAGCTCCACCAAGCAAACAAGTCCCTCTGAAAATATGCGAACTAATTAAAAAAATTCGTGGCGGGAAAACGTTAAGCCAACGCAGGCGTGTACAGTCCGTAATAAATGTGACAGTGACACATTTATAGATTAAATGTTTATAAAATCATAATAGGGGAGCTAGCTCGAAATCCACTGAACGAGAATGATCAAAATTTTAACCGATGGAGTTCCATTTTGCCCTATCCGAGTATGCTAAAATCGACCGTCTGTCGCCTTAGGTCATATTACTTAAGGCGCTGCGGGTACTTTTTGCGGTACCAATTCTAAAAGGTTGTTCTTCGAGAAAATAAGTTCTACACAAAATGAAAACGTTGATAATAGCTCTTAGAAAAATATTTAAAAAATCGCGAACACGACTTTTTTTCGTCGCGCCAGGGTCGGTTTCGGGATTATTTAAATCGAATTTTAGCGGACAAATTCGGTTCCATTACAAAGCTTTGCATGGTATCCAAAATTGCTACAAATCTACGCACTTGAAATTTGTGACCAGTGACGTTCTTCTATATGGTCAAAGGGGGTCATATTTTTTTTAATGACAACCACTAGTTTTCATTACATATTCTTAAAGAGTACACTTTTTTGAATATAGTAACCTAAAAAATCTTACTCTATTACAAATTTACTCAAATCAAGGAAAATAGTTATGTTATGTTGTCATATTTAAAAAAAGGTCCTTTTTTAATAATAACCTCGATATAATAACTGATCAACTAGTGGTTGCCTTTAAAAAAATAAGTCCGCCTTGACTATGCAGAAGTACGCCACTGGCCACATATTTGGCCAAGTGCGTGCGTGCAGTTAGGAGTGCTCATGTTAGGCTCAGTTCAAACTGAACGGACCTGTGGCGGAGGCGTGGCGAAGACGTGACTCTGACGTGGCGGAGACGTGACGCAAACAAACCACATTGAGAAGGCGAGATTGTGACATGAAATTTCGTCACTACACATACGCCACTAGCGACTTGGAAGAGACGTGGCGGAGGCGGGATGGTGGCCAACCGTGCCACGTCGCGTCAGTGTGCGATACATCGTTTGTTTGCAATGGGCAGCGCAGAGAGGACATAAGTCTGTGCCAGTGCCACGTCTCCGCACAGGTCCGTCCAGTGTGAACTGGGCCTTAGGGACAACGTTTTTCCTACAAATCGCGTGCGCAAAGTGATCAATTCCCGCACTAAATGCGGTAATGTCAATAAAAAAAAAAAGTTTATTTCTTGTTAACTCAAAATTCGGCCACAGGCAAATGAATAAATCAAAAAATAGTCAGGAACTGATTTTTCGAATGTTCCAAATAGATCTTCATTTACTTCGCGTGCTTTGTATACGATTTGAATTTGACTGCAGAAAGGATCCTAGAGGAACATTACCGAAAAAAACGTGAATTATGCTTCAGAGAGAGTATAATGAATCGCATTTAGTAATCGTTATGTTGGTCATATACCTAGCGAATACTGTAGCAGACCAAACTTGTCACAGTGATACTCTCGAAGTGTTGGACAAAAAATAAAAAAAGAAACTAATTACTTTATTTCAAAAACCCATCAATAAATACAAAAGATCCAGTGAAATAATTGACGACCAGTGACATCTGTTTAATGGTCTAAAACGTCTTCTGCAACTTACCTCGTCGTATCAACAGTTCCACTTCAAAAGTAATTACTGACACAATTTCCTTTATTGAAACGTAAACTAAGAACAAGGGTAAAAGTGATACGTCCAAAAATTATTGCGATTTTTCGGCTGTTACACCATAGATGAATTTAAGTCTGGGCCTGAAATACAAAAACAACTATTAGTAACATAATTAGACACAGAATTAAATTCTTTTAATTAGTCAAAGATCCAATCGGATTCAACGCATAAATATTGCGAAGTGCTTAGAGATTTTGGAACGTTACTGGAGGAAGCGACGTCCGTCTCCAAATACTGAATGTCATCAACCGTTGCATAATCTCCAGATTCCGCAAAATTATGACCATCCGCATGTAATTTTAGGACGTATTCACTTTCGGAAATAAACATATCATTGAGTTGCGTATTAATTAACTCCGAGCACTCTATCACGGTGGCCACTGATAGATTTGATCCGTTGCTGTCCGCACTTGAATCTTGCGTTTCAATTTGAATGCAACTTCTCATATTTATGCTGGTGCGGGGTTGTGAAATTCTGTATTGGGCAACGTCCGGTACAGAATGTAACCTCTGTTCTGTAGGCGGTAGTTGATGACACCCTTCTTGCGAACTAGGTCGCACACCCCCTCGATTTAAAAACAAAGAGAGATAAGATTTGTATGAGTGCTTCCGATCCGCATCAACAAGATTTTCACTTGCACCTTTCGGGAATTGGTCATGTGAAGCTTCCGCATAGGACCTTCGTGATTCCACCGATATTACAGGAGTAACGGGAGGTCTAGATGATAAAGTTAACGGTGAAAACCGGACCTTCGGTATTGGAATGGAAGACAAAATTTGGGACGATCGATTTGGTATCGCAGACGATTGCGTACCAACGTTACAAAGGTCAGTGTCCGTTTTCGACTTTTCGCTAGAGTAATTATGGCGCACGCGAGATGATGATATTTGAGGTTCCAAAGGTGGTTTTGGCAAGTTCTTTTTTATGACCCTGTTATAGTATAAATCGGGGGTGGGTTGTATTTTTGTTAGTTTAGGAATTGGGCTGGTATGTTGCTGTGAAAATTCTTCACATTGGGACGTTGTGGGGGAAGTTTTGTAATAGTTATGCCGAGATGCCTGTACTTTCGGGGTTCGATATGTCCTTGGATGACATTTGTGACATGTACCCATAAGTGATTTGGCGGTCTGTTTCAGTTTTGTATCTTGTACCACCATCTTTCTGGAAAGCGAGGCGAAAGCGTGTTTGAGGAACTTTAATCGTTTTTGGATATCATCAACGTTTTGGTAGGAACTCAGCCATGACCTTACAACTTCGCTTTCAAGGTAATGACTACTCGCATCAGCGTCGGTTGGTGCTTGTGCCGATGTGGCGAAATTAAGTGTTGAAGTACGAGGAGGCTGACTTCCGTAAGTTGGTGAGGTTGGTCTTCCGATTTTAGCCCGATTAGAATATGTAAATGAAGATCGATTTTTCGGTAATGTAAATTTACGTGGACTAGCGGTATCGTACCAGGAACTCGATGAAGGTGGCGCTCCCTTCAATTGAGCTTTGGTCAATTGGAGCTCCTTTTCCATGACTCCTACTGCATCTTGCAACTTGAACCGTTTTTCATTGGCGATAGAAAGTGAATGCTCAAGTTCGTGAATTCTTTTCACTTGTGCCTCATTTTCGCGCTCCTTGCTATTCAAATTCATAGTTAAATCGTGGAGCAATTTGGTTTTACTGTCCATTTCTTCACGAGTCTAAAACAATAACTATGCAACTAGGATTTAATTACCTATGTAAAAGTACCTGCAGTAAAAGTTCACGTATGGTGTTGCCATACTTATTCAAACTGTTGCTTTCTATTTGCAAGTCGTCTTTTTTCGCCTTTAGCAGTTTTATAAGCCCATCTCTGACTTTGAGGAGATTTTCCATGTCGTTCAGTTGTCTAGTTCGTTTATCTAGTTCATGCTGAAAACTGATCGCTTTTTGTTCATTTTGTGATGATTTCTTAATAAGGGCTTCTAGTTTACTTTTCCCATCGTACAACATACGCTTCAGTTCATTCTCCTCGAGATCACTTTCGCCGGATTCGGGTATAGAAATTTTTAATTTTAGTTCTTCTACTTCCGCTTTCAAACCAGTTATCTCCACCTGCCTAAAGTAACTGTCAAATTAGAAAACAAAGAAATTCCCTTACTGGCGGTACACAGTCTCATCTTTTTGAGCCACTGAACTTTCCAGTTCTGTTAACCTCTGAACATTTTTTAGTGACAAAATCGACTCGGAGCTTACATCTTTCTCATCTTGCAATGATTCCAGGGTATTAATAAAGCGCATTTTTTCTCGGTCGTACGATTGCAATTTGTCTTCAGCCGCTTTTAAAGCAGCCCTCGTTGCCATGAGCTCTGTATATAATTCGGCTTCGTGCTCTGTGTAAATATTTGCTAAAATATGGAGAAATTGGTTGATTAAAATTCCAACAGTGTATAACCCACCAACGTCATTTGGTTCAAATGTGTTCTTTGTTTTAGCAATATCAACCAATTGGCTATTTCCTATCTCCATCTGGATGAGTTTATTCTGCACGTGTTCGTATTTTTCTTCCAATGTTTCTCTCTTAACCTTTTCTTCCGCCGCCAATTTCCTCGTGGCCTCCAATTCCATATTCAATTTGTTCTCTGCACTTTTCTGCCCGTTGTTTACCTCCGCCAGGTTCTCTTCTAGAGTCTTCACCCTGAACAGAACGGAATTATCACATCAGTCCCCAGGGAAACACCGACAGAGTAGTACGATCTCACCTGCTCGTCCCTCCGTGGTGTTTACCAAAGTGAGGATTGAACAAACGTTAAGATAAATCACACTATTTATTTTGTCATAAAAAACATCTAAATCTCAAAGTAAGTGAAATTACAGTAAACTACATCATGTAAGCAACGCAAAATCATGTCAAATAGTAACCTGGTTTCAAAGCACGAACGCTCTTTGGTTAGCTTCTCCAACATCTGCTTGTCATGCCTGCCTTTAGATACCAGTTCTTCTTTCTCTTTGTTCCATCGCAGTTCGTTCACTTTAAGTTGCTCCTGCGTATGCCTACAATTTTTTTTAACTTAAAATGAACATAATTAAAATTGATCTTACTTGCAAGTCTTTTGTAATTCACTTTGTTTGGTTTCGCTTTCTTTACATTTACGTTCCAATTCCTGAATTTGTGTTTTCATAGTTTTTTTCTGCTGTTCAAAACTCGAATACTTTTCCTTATGTGACTGAGCGCACTGCTTTTCAGACGCAAGAGCTTGCTCCAAGTGTTTTAGCTTTCCGTTCAAATCTTCTACAGTCGCTTCGACTTGGCTAGTTTTCTTCTCGTAAGTTTCACTACTTTTTAACGCTTGATCGCGTTCCCTCTTGAGTAAATTTAGTTTTTGCTCTTGGGCTTTTAATTTCGCTTTTAATTCGTCGACATCGTTTAAAATATTGACGGCATCCCCTGAATTACTAACTAACAAGGCCCACTTCTCCACGAGACTGGTCGCTCGATTCTGCTGTTCCTTTGATTGATCGCTAACCATTTTTTCTAACACGGTAGTATCTTCTTTGTACGTTTTTAAGAACCTTTGTGCCTCCTCAACCGTGATTCTGTGCTTTGTAAACTGCTCCAAGGTAGTTAGCACTAGCAACCTCTTGTTCATGAGGTTCCTGCAAATGTCTCCTAGCGATGAAGGAATTTCGTTAATGGCATCTGTCATTGTTTCAATTAGTCGAGGTTCTACACTCGCTGGGTGAATGTCCGGTTTTAAATCGTCCAATTCGACGTTTGTAACACCGGACTCTTCTAATTTCTTTTTAAGCTCAACGAGTATGGTGTACAATTCTGATACTAAACTTCTTTTAGATGTAAGTTCATTTTGCAAAACGTGCAGTTGCCTTTTTTTATCTTCGAATTGATGAATTAATGTTGAGTTTCGACCTGTTTTGACGTTTCCTCTGCTAACATTGGTTCTGCGAGGGGTTGTTGAATTGGATAAATGTGACAAGTGGCTTGTCGATGTAATTTTCTTTGCTTCTCGGGGCATTTTGACACTCTCCTTCACAGATTCTTTATTGCTAACTTGCGATGATTTTACTCTCAGTGGGATTGCTAAAAAAAGGACGTTCCACGTAAATGGTTTTAAGCGCAAAGGCGTACCCGATGTGTTTTTTGTTGTTTCGGAAGGACTGCTGTGGATATCTTTAGGAGGGCTTGATCCGTTCGATTTGATCTCCTCGAGGGGACCGTTGTCCTTCGTATCGAAACAGTCTGCAAAGGGAAGGATTGTTGCTGATTTAAATAGAAGGTCATCGTCTGCTTTGTCCAGATCCAGAGGTTCCTTATTTTGCTGAAATACTGACGATTATGACAACCGCCAACTAAAGGTTTGCATTTACTTTTAATGTTTTGATTCCACTGACACTGCACGGTCTCTGTGACTTTACGTTAGTTGTTGGACTTGGTGGACGCTAAAAGAGGCACACTATTTAGTACACCTTCAAGATTTCTTTTTGCCGTACCGATAAACTCCTATGCCTGATTGGTCGAGGTAATTTGGCAGCAGTTCGTGCAGATTGAGGTAAGGATACCTTATCAGTGTTCGCCTTGGTGATTAATTTTGAACTAGTGGACGTCGTACTCGCTTTAATAGATGCGCCAATTCCTATTCAAAGGTTAATGCATTAAAATTACAAATGACGTTTCTTGACAGGTGCGCTTACCATCTTTACTCTCGCTAAAGCGTGCGAGCTTGCTTCGACTGAACGACATCCCTTCAAGAATATTCGGACCTTAAAAAAAATAAATCACGCACTGCACAGTTTTATAAAACGATTTACAATGATTTTGATTTTAACAGCCGAGAGTTTTTTAAAAATAATTCCTTCAAACAAATGCTTTGATAAACAAAAAAAGGACATGTATATGGCAATGTGATTTACCTATGCCTAAACTGTTTGCACATTTTTATTCTGGAAAGAAATTTACGTCAATGATTGACGATACTTATGAGGAAATATTTCCCAAGGAGTTTGGAGTACGATAGGAGGGTGGACAGGGTTCACGTGTACTTAGACCTCGTATTCGAGCTCTTTGTGCTACCTCCCTGACTAGCGTTGTCCACCCCTCAACGTCACTCAAGCCATCCCACACGTGAGATGAACCTAAGGATGCTGGACGGGGATGCGGCTCTAATCGTAGTCATGTCCGGCCAGGATACCCCCAACATGGATCGTTTCAGTTGGACATTCCCAAAGTATGTGGTGTGCCGTCTGGTTGTCTACGTAACATCCTCTACAAGATGGCGATTCTACCATTCTAACATTGGGTTTCATCCTGCCCCGTGGTGCGCTTTGGGTTTATTGAGTTATTAAGTTGCTTACAGTTGGAACTGTAAGTGGAAGAGCGGGATCTGGACTATAAAACACCTCGGCTTTCTCATTACCTTTCGTTCCAGCATGTCCTTTAACCCATACGAGCTCATCAAGGGTATTACAGTACTGATAACTTACTCAAGAGATTTTTATAGTTTTGTTCTTTATGTTATGCATAAGAACTTTTTTTGTGCTGAGCGTTAGTCCTACCAATCCTGATTGGATTATTGGAATGCAGTAGGAAATTTGCCTAATGGTTGGGTGATATGGAAGTTCAGTTCTTTGGAGTAGATACTCGAGAGGGGCCCACTTCAAAATCTCTTGCTATTCAGCAGTCCCTTAGATTTCAGACGCAAGGATGCCAGAATGGCCTTTCCTCTCACGTGGAGGCACATCCATAAGGGTCTCCATGACGGCTGTGGGGGTTGTTCGCTTCGTGCCCGTGCGAGTAAGGCACGCTAGTCTTTGCACATGATTAAGAAGTGGGAAGGTTATGGAAAGTCTGGTTCTAACCCACCACACAATTGGTCCATAACAGAGCGTAGGTCGAATCAAGGCAGTGTACAGCCACAAATACAGCATTCGGGGATAGTCCCCAAAATCTGCCAATTGCGGCGGTGGCATTGCCAAAAAGGCCTATTTGCTTTTCGACCTTGAGCTGAATATGTTTGCTACAATCCAGTTTTTTGTCAAGTATGATGCCTAGGTGATTCTAAAAATTTGAGGTGTTTTTGGAATAGCATGGGAGTTGGAAGGATCTCCACTCTCCTTTTTCATGTGACGAGAACTAGCTCCGTATTTGTCCAGTTGATGGACAAGGAGTGTTCCCTACACAATTCTTCGTTTACTCTTAGAGCTGATTGTAATTTGTATCAGACTACCTATAGAGTAGCCTCGATTTTGCCGGGTTATTAATATGGATACATCGTCCGCATACCTCAGACTATAGTATCCGATGCGATTAAGCGACAGAGGAGGCTATTTACAGTTAAGTTCCACAGAAGTGACGATAGCACCCCACCTTAGGGGCATCCTTTTACTACCGTAATGCTTTTTAGAGGTGCTCCTGCAGAAGGTCTTACGTTGGTCTATACTACTGCGATATTTACCCTACGAATTAGGAAAACTGCAGAAAAACCTAATTTGGAGTAGTCGACAGATTGCTCGAAACTGATCTAAGGAAATTTCCATCTCTGCCACAGATGAAAAAATTCGCCTCAACTCAGGTTCGAACACCCGACCTCTCGGTTGTGTAACCCAACTTTCTTAGTCTGAGCCACACAGACGATTATGGTGCAGTGGAAACCGTGTTCGCGGCACCGTATTCCTTGTGTATCTATCGCACAATCTTTCAAGTGTCTGAAGAAGAAAATCATACTGATTGAACGATGTACTTTAGGTGTGGAGTAATCACCTTTGCCAGGTTTTGGGATAAAGACAATTTTTATCTCCCATCACTGAGAGCGATACAGCCCGTATATATTCTCACTAGGTAGATGACAATAACATCCAGTCCCTATCGCAGGGGAGGGCTGGTATTATGCCGCCTATTCCTGGTGATTTGTATGCCGAGAACGATTTCACCGCCCAGGCCACTCTCGCTACATCCACCATCTGGCGGACAACCACCAAGTAATTCTCATTCTCAAACAGAGGTGAAGAGGCATCCTGGGACGCTCCCGCTGGGTTATTGCGTTTGTTCAGCTTTTCAGTATCCATATCAGACGCGTGAAATTTCGTCCTCTCAACTCCCCATCCACCACATGTTTGTTTTGATTACATGATTTGATCGAGTAATCGCACTTGAAACCACGAAATCGTTGTGGTCCAGGGTGCGGAAACATTCATTGCGTTTATATATGAAGAGGTTAGTTACGATAAAAGAGAAATTTATTAAACAAATTTTTGCGCTTATTTTGTTTATATGAGGCGATAATAAGATTCTAATTTAAACCGCAACCGGTAAAAAGTTTAAAGACGATTAATTAGTGTAATTGGTATACCAAGGAAAATTAACATTTCCGTATTGCAGAACGTTGGTAAATTATTCCCGTGAATAAACCAAAATTTAAGTCTTAAATTTGAACCTGAACCCTAGTTCTTCCTGATTCAAATCATCCAATCATCTTTCAAAACCAGGTGATATAAAGTGTCCAATTGTTTCTCATTGATCGCTATTGGCAATTTTCATATCACACACGACTTGACACGACAGAGAACCCTCAACTATTCGAAAACACGATAGAGTATTTTTGTTTGGAGATGGCTGAAAATGATCAAACCAAGTGATTCTAAAAGATTTAAAATCCATAAAATTAAACACAAATATCATCTCTAACAAATTCCAGCAATTATAGTATATTATATACCGCGGGACTGAAGTAGTACTTTTAATCCCGAAGGTAAAGTTTATGGCCCGACCGAAGGGAGGGCCATAATTTACCTGAGGGATTAAGACCACTCCTTCAGTCGCAAGGTATATACGATATTTTTCGTACTTCCGAAACCGAAACACTTAATATGTATCACAGATTTAAATATACTAAATCTGTGTATGTATGAAGTTAGAGAACGCGTTCTTTCAAAAAATCTCTGCTTAACAAGTTACCATAGAAACGTTGCGTTGGTATGACAATCCCTATGCTATGGTAACAAAAATAATTTGGAAACTGTCATTGCTAGTGTCATAATTTTGGTGGTGGGTGACAAAGGTGTATTTGATATTGATAAAAAGCAGCCTAAGTGTGGTGTCACACTATGCGTTTTTACCGTTCCCGCTAAAACGGATGCGGTTTGACAGGATGAGATCTACTTGTCACACTATTCCGGTCTAACGGGATGCGTTTTTGCTATATTTTGGCAGTCTAAGTAGTGTCATGCCTCAATTATTGTTAAAGATGGTTTGTGCGTTTGAGGCGGAGGGGTTATTGCGAAAGCAGAATATCCTCAATATTGGATTGATCTTTTTAATTCAGGACGAGAATCTAATAATAAAAAATTCGAATGAACAAGAAAATTTTTTTTTGTATATTACCGTCCAAAAATTCAATTTCTACCCATGATTTCTCCCTACAGTTTTTATCTACATACTCTTTAGATTGTTTTTCCCACAGTGCAGTTTTTGCATGCACGCACTCGATGAATAAACCGACATCAAACATTGTAAACCTAACAAAACACCCGATTGCAACGCTCAGTATGACAACTGATGACAACCAACATGCAACAACACGTGGTTTCATGTCATTGTGGTTGTCATGTCATCCTGCGCAGCGGCAGCAGGATGCGGTTGCATCCGGTTGGTGCGGCGAAAACGCATATATGTGACTGGTACCATTTAATAACGTGTGATATTATCATCCCATCAAACAGGAGCGTTTTAGCGGGAGCGGTAAAAACGCATAGTGTGACACCACACAAAGTAGGAATAGAATTGATACCACCGAAATCCAAAAAAACTATATGAGCAGCAGTACGATGCGTTTAAGAAGTAGCGCCACATACAAAATGTGGAACAACCTACTGAAATTGCCTTGTTAGTAATTTCATCCTTCCGGGATTTTCGTCTAAATTTAATCCCGGCGGGACAAAAAGTGACACTTCAGTACTTGTCATAATGGAGTGAAGTTGTTACTTTAGTCCCGGAAGTACGAAAAAAATATAGCGTGATGGATTTCTGAGAATGGAAACATGCTAGATATGTGATAGAAAAACTGAAAAATATTAAAAAAAATTTTTGTGATTTACTTCAATTACTTAAAAAAATTAGCAAGCTAACATTATACTTTCGTTATAATATCCTCTAGTAGATCTCTCGTTTCCAACTCTATAGCCTATGTCTCAGGGATAAGCCGCCACTGTTATGTCTTCTAAAGTAAATAGCAGCATACCTGCTAAAAAATAAATATAATATATAAAATAAACAAAAGGAAACAATATTCCTCTATATTCAAAATGCAATAATATCATCGCCGAGACGCCGACTGCAGTAAAGTAACGAATAAATTAAATGTAATTACAATTTCGCCTCTTTCAATTTAAAATTATCGATGCTTCGAGCGAAGTCGGCGTGTTATAAGAAAGTGATTGGGAGAGCAATGCAAATATTTCCTCAAAATATATTTGAGGAAACGGCGACGATATTTTATTATTGAAGCTTTTCTCCGCGCCCCTTGACGCTATTAATCGCAAACTTTGCCATTCAATTTTTTGAGTCTCTAAACGTTGCTAAAAGAATGTCAGTTTGCATAAGTCTCTACAATTAAAAGTAAATCAACGTTGAAATTGATCAAAAATGGAGTACCTACGTGCGAAGAATTAATTATAGATTGCGACTCCCCTGTTTCCCTGCAGTGTTCGAATAAATGTTCAAACTTTATAATGGTGAAGTGTTTAAACGAATTAATTTTGGAGAGTTTAATTTTCTTGATTAAGCAAATTTTGTTGTTGTCCTACACGCGTTTAATTAAAAATATTTCAATTACTGAAGCATCCGTCCCACGCATTTTAGCTGAGTTTGAATTTTATAAGTGATTTC